CAGAGATTGTCAAAGAGGGAGTGATCTGCCTCAGTGATTTCCAAGGTAGACAAAAGGTCAAGTTTAGAAGAAAAAAAAAAATACCTAATAGAAAAGAAAAAAAAAAACTATTAATATGGAAGAAACAAGTACTATAGGTTAAAAAGCTTTAAAGCATCAATATTCAAAATGGTGAGGTTTAAAACAATCTTAATCTCTTTGAATTTAAGAACAAGGGGACCTCCCTTGTTGGAAAGAGGATTCCTTTGGTTTGGAATGATGAGAGCATTGGGCATATATATCTCCGATAGCAAAAGACAGGCTATGAGTTGCTGAGAGAGTCAGATAAAGAGGGAGTAATATTCAGGCACTTGATTGCTAACCAGAAGACTGGTGGTTCAAATCCACCTCCTCTGAAGGAAGGTTGGGCAATCTACTTCCATAGTGATATTGCCTCAGAAACCCAAGGAGGGGTCTCTATGAGTTGGGTCTTCCTTGACAGCAAACAACAACAACCATATTCAATCCTGAGTAGCCAAAAAACTTTTGCTCAACTTCAGAATGGCAGTTTCCACTAAATAGTTATTTATAATATCTTGAATTTCTTTATAAATTTCTCCACCATTCTCATACTCCATACTCAACTTTTTGTTGTTGTCTTTTACAAATAAAACTAAATTTGTTCAGAAGATGGATGTTGTTTTCATGTCAGTAAAAGGGAAAATTCTTTTATGAACCATTTCAGTGCATTTTCTCTAATGGTGAAATATAGAGTAATATGTTAACTGATTATCTACTTATGTTTTTAATTTACAAAACCAAATTGCTAATTAAAATTTCAAAAGCATGTAAAATTTGACTATTAGGACTATGAGTTTATTAATAGAATATACCCTCTAGTAATTATTTGATCTCAAAGTTATTCATTACCTTCTACCACAGAAGGCTAAATGTTGAACTTTCTTCCTTCTGTAGGAAAAAGTGATTAAATATCAGACCACACATGAAGAATATTTATTCTGTGGTATTTAGGTATATTTCCACATTTAATGTTAAAAACAGAAAGCAATTTAAGAACATTTTCCATGTGGGTCCAAAATGGAAGATACAACATCCACTTTTAATAAGACTCAGCAGTTATTATTGACTGAATTGTCCAGTTAATTTATATGTGTGTATAGGGGTTGTGTGTGTACATACACACAAGCACACACTCTTTCAATGATCATTCCAGAAATTCAACTTTGTTTTAATATGGGCAGTTTTCTAAATGCACTGAATTCATAAAGTAAGAGCTGCTTTTCCCAGGGCTTCTGCATGCAAATAGGATCAATGCAGACATTGGATCCCTCCCTAGGGACAGGCAGAAAATTATCAAACAATACCGGTGCATGAAACTATGTGAATTCTCATGCTCTTTGTGGAATGTGGGACAAATCTCTGAAGTAGTTATGGTATCAACATTTTTCCATTATGGGCAATGCAATTCACAGCTAGGTGCGATTGAATATATCTGAAGAGAGTCAGGGATAGTTATTTCTTATTGGTGATTATTAGTTATCTCACTTGATTTTCTGAAAACTATGTTATTTCTTAAGGCCTATTCAACTCACACATTTTGATTATGAATTAAATTACTGCCTTCAATGCAATTGCTTTGTGTGTGGGGACAAAAAGGTCAATATCCTCATTGTCTTTACCCTCCCATGCTATCCTACCACCCACTCACTAGCCAGAGTTAAAATGTTTTAAGTGTTCTTTCTTCTGAGAAAGTAAAATAACATTTTGTGTGGTTATGTATCACAAATGAGATTTTAGCTGTGACTACACAAGTCAAAGATAAAACAGTTTATTCTGGTTTTGATTCAAGTCTCTTATTGGTATTGATCTGCAAGTCACAACTTCTCCTGGGCCAGGAGAAGAGGGAAAAAAAAAAAAAAAATCTTCACAGGAGGATTTCTCTAAGAATTTCAGCCAAAGTTCCAAAGGACAAAAGAAAAAGTTAGGTTCAAGAGCAGCAAATAAGGGAGAGATGACAGAATATTCTGAAAAACCAATTCAGGACTGTGATCATCTAAAGGCTCTAGTGAACAGTAAAAATTAGCTACGTTGTGCAAGGTAGCTAATCCTTGAAATTTTGCAAACAACTGTCATTCATTGGCAGTTTCAGGAAGACCTAGGGCTGATTAGACATGGTTTAGACATTAGACCACTTTTCCATGAAATGATTCTAGCAGCTTTCAGAATGTAAGAGACAATATGCTATTTTCCTATAGAAACAGTCTCTGATTTATTAGGGAGAGTTTAGGTTAGGAAAGTGACCACCCATGTTTTCTTTTTCATCTTCTTTTCCAGATGTATTTTGTGTTTGCACTCTTTAGCTTTAGCAAATTGAACTATAAATTTGTGAATATTTGCTCCATAAATGCATACAATGTTACAATGTTTATACAAAAGATTTTCTCTAGAAACTTTAAAGCATCTTCTAGACCTCAAATTATATATATATATAATGTTGTTGTTGTTGTTGTTTGCCATCGAGTCGGCCCCGACTCATAGCAACCCCTCCTTGGGTTTCCGAGGCAGTATCACCACGGAAGTAGGAATGCCCAACCTTCCTTCTGAGGAGTGGCTGGTGGGTTTGAACCGCCAGCTGTCTGGTTAGCAAGCAAGTGTCTTAGCCACTATGCTACCAGAGCTCCCGAAATTAGAATAAGATTAGCAATTAGTTTGTCCTAGAATAAGATTAGCAATTAGTTTGTCCTAGATCACACTGTTAATAAGCACAAAAGATGAAACTTGAACTCAGGTCCATCCAACTCCACCAAGATGCCCATATGTGATAGTCCTGGTGTTCCCATCCTACTGTTCCCATTGGACCAGTCTCTCCCATTGGCCTCTCCAGGCTTGAAGTAGCTTCCTCTTCCCGCCTACCTCCACTGGTGGCCTATAACTCTGCTCTGTCCATAGGAGGACACCATGTCCTGCTCCTACTAGCATTCCTGGAGATGCCAGTTTAAGATTGGATGGGTGCTCAGGCTCTTAGTAACAGGCATCTGCCTCCTGCCCCCCATCTTGGCTCCCCACCTGCTGGATCCAAGGCCCCAGGTTTGGGGAGCACTCATAGAAGCAGAAAGCCTGGATGAAGTGCTTCTGACAGCTGGGGGTCAGAAAGCCACAGTGAGTCAAGCTGAAGTTATAGAGCAGGGACTCATCCAGATGGGCCTCCCAGCTGGTGCTGGCCGTGCAGCAGGCATTGTCCTTCCAGGGGATGCACTGAAGGTGGAGGAGGAAGCAAAGGGCACAAGTGTAACAGGCACTTGGGGGGGGTGGGGAGGCAGGGCACCGTGTAACAGGGCACAAGGGGGACAAGATAAAATGTCCCCATTGTGGGGATTCCTTTAGGCCAGCAACCCCCTACCCTGATTGTCAAGTTGTTGTTGGTGGTGTTAGGTGTTGTCAAGTTGATTCTGACTTATAGTAAGCCTATATGCCAGAGTAGAACTTCCTCATAGGGTTTTCTAGGCTGTAGCTGATCGCCGTGTCTTTCTCCCACTGAGCAACTGATTGGGTTCAAACTACCAACTTTTCAGTTAGCAGCTGAACACTTAACTACTGCACCACCAGAGCTCCTTTGATTGTTGAATGAACCCTGATAATTTGTTATTCACACCAAAGCCCTGCACACTGACCTCTCTGACACAGGCTGCTGCTGGACCCTAGAAGCATGACTTTCACGGTTTTAGCTCATAAGACATGACAGAATTCTTTGGGAAAACGTGGAAGAGAGAGGCAGCCCATCGAGACCCAAGGAATCTGGGATTGCATTGGGTGGGAGGGTACTTGTAGCTGAGAAGGACTCATAGACTAAATCCTTGCTCAGTCCATAACTCTTCCTCCTTCAGGAGCTTGAGGGAGGGGTCACTTAAGAAATATGTTTACCTAAGATGTGCTATGGGAGCTCTGGTAGTGTAGTGCCTAAGGCACTTGACTGCTAACCAGAAGGAAGATGAGGCAATCTACTTCTGTAGTGTTACTGCCTCGGAAACCCAAGGAGGGGTTGCTATGAGTCGGGTCTGACTCCACGGCATAACAACAACAACTCAACAAGGTGTGCTCTAGAAGGCAGGACAAGGTTTGTTTTAATCTATGCTGAACTAACAATGGGCTTTTGGGGTCACCATTTGATGCTACTTCCCTATGGCTGGACAGCTCAGAGACGGGAACTTTAAATCACTGGACTCTTATAGTCTGCAAAGGTCATAGTTTTGCTCCACATGCCTTTGTTCAAATCACACCTAAAGAATCAAATAAGCCCAGGTTGATGGGAGTTCAGAGACCATCTTGGTATTTGTGTCTCCCTCTCACCCTTAGGTCAGGTCTGGCCTCCGTACCTCTTCATAGAGCTTGTCTTCTGGGCCCGGCTCTTTCTTGTGGTGTTTGGTGTTCATGCAGACATTGATCAGCTTGTTCCCAGTCCAGGAAGGTGTGACTGTCCACAGCCCCAGCAGGAACCACCACCACCATGCCATCGCCTGCTGCAGAGAAGAGACCCACTCTGTTCATAGAATGAGGAGCACATCCCTGGAACCCCCAACTCACCAGGCAGTGAGGAGGGAACATAGGGCCAAGGCTCCCTCAAGTGACAACAACACTAGCTGCTTCTCAGATCTGAGGTAGCATTACAGAAGGTCAGGCTGGGTGGAATAAACCTTAGACACTCCTCCTCCAATCATTGTATAGAAGCCCAAACTGAAGCCCAGAACAGGGGAAGAAAGGAGCTCTAAGGTAAAAGTCAGGGGTTAAAAGGTTCCCAGCCTTCCCTGGAGAAATTTTCCTGGCCCTTCTCCACTGGGAGGTAACCTTTTTAACTCAGTTATATAAATGAGTTGCTGTGGAGTAGATCCTACGTGTGTCAGAGTAGGACTTCATTATATAGGTTTTCAGTGGTTGATTATTCCAAATGTAGATCACCAGGCCTTTCTCCCAAGGCCTCTCTGGGTGGACTTGATCTTCCGATCCTTTAGCAGCCACCTGGCTTAACCATTTGCACCACCCAGGGACTCCATGCAGTCAGATATTGGCTGGGGATTCAGAGCTTTCATCTGGCCCACAAGGAACCTCCAAATCCAGGCCAAGTAACCTAACAAGTGCCCAGTAATAAGATTCTTCATGGGTCCAAAGTGTGTGAGTGAGTAGTGGGACAAACTTAGTGCTGCCTTATCAAATGCTAACCCTAATTCCAGCCCCTCTGAAGGGGTCCAAGCAAGGGCCACAGCTCCTTGTTGAAGCTTGTCCCTCCCTGGTTTCTTGGCTTCCTAGCCAGAGTCCTTTCCACTTAGAGCAACCACTCTGCTTTCAGCAGCTTCATCTCATCTCAAATCCATGCTATTCATGAGGCTGGAGCTGTCTAGTGCCTGGCTACCTTGCAGGCATCTCAGAGTCAGGGAGCATGGCCAGGCCTTCTAAAGGCCAATCCCATGACAGGAATGGGAAGGACATCCTTTCAATTGTTTGTTGAACACTATATTCCAGCCCTGTTCTGGATGGTGATGGTGATGGTGATGGTGATGGTGACGGGACAGAATGCAAAGTGCACCCTTCCACACCCTCACTACCAAAAATAAATAAACAAGGCAGAATCAAGGAACCCTGCTGCAAATACCCAGCGCCTGGAAGGATACTATATTTTAAAAGGCAATTTAGGGAAGAGGCTCCCTCAGCCTTCACTCACCCTGAGGGTCCACGGCTCTCGCAGTCCTCTAGTCTTTGCAAGAGCCTGCAGTGGACCCAGCACAGTGAAATTGAAAACTCTGAGCCTATCCTGGGTTTTTCTAGACCTCAGTTCCCACCTTCAGAGCCCATTCCTAAGTCTAAATCTAAGGTCACTCTCTCTCTACAGCACCAGTAACAAGGGTAAAAATAGCCATGACGTAGTTTAAAACTATCAGGTACATTAGACTTAGGCCAAAAGAGGAAAGATGCAAGCCCTTCCAGTGTTCCCTCCATACTCACTTCCATAGCAGTGAATGCTTCTGGTGCTCCCTCCCACCGCCAGAAACTTGGAAGCTGAGGAGAATTTCCCTGTTCTGCCTATTTATTACTCAAACCTGTTTTATTACCCAAACCTGTTTCCACCAGGCTCAGATGTAAAGCAGAACTCTAGGTGGCTCCATTGAGCAGCATCTGTCTTACCCAAGTTTGTGGCCTCCTATAAATGGGACAGGGTGGGTTCCCAATGAGTTTGAGAAACAGAGACCTCACAGGGGTAAAAACCTGAATTATTCCATCAGTTACTAAGTTCAGCTTTCAGCTCTGTTACTCACCAGGTGGATGACTTTGGAAAAATTACTTCAACTCTTTAAGCAAATTACTTCAACTCTTTAAGCATCAGTTTGCCCATCTGTAGAGAGGGTTGGTATAATGGGGTTGTTGGGAAGAAGAAATTAGAGTTGTTTGGTTGATGTCATAGAGTCAATTTCAACTCATAGTAACCACAGAGTAGAACTGCCCCACAGGATTTTCTTGATTGTAAACTTTTTGGGAACAGATTGCCACAGCTTTCTCCTGTGGAGCCACTGTGTGGCTTCGAACCACCTGCTAACTTTTCATTTAGCAGCCGATCACTTAGCCATTGTGTCACCAGGGCTCCTGGTACATGGAAAGGACTTAGCATAGCATCTGGCACAAAGCAAGCACTCAGTCACTCTTACTGTTTTAATTCACATTCTTTCATTCTCTGGAGTCTCACTCTCTGCCTCGCCTGCAGCTCCCCTTCCCCGTTCATCAGCTCATTACCTGGGGGGAAGCACAGGGTGGTTTGAGTAACAACGCAGTCCTCGGCTCCCAAGGACAAAGCTTCCTGCTGGAGAGAAGACCCAGCCACACGCAGCAGTGCAGGAGTGCAGGAGACTTCAGTATGTGGTCTTGAGGACCCAAGAACTTGAAATGTGTGACCAAAGCCAAAACAAACAAACCAAAAAAGTCCCTCCACAACCCATAACATGGCCCCCCTTAGCGCGACGCCTCAAGTGCAGGGACATTGTCTTGTGAAATATTCTACAAGTATTCTCAGCAGTTATAATCATGAAAATCTCTTTCTCCACTAAGGAGAGATGGTGAGACTTGGAGAGAGCCCTTAGGAGAGTTCCAAAGACAATGAAAACACTGGAAAAGGAACTCCTTGCTTTGTCTGTTTCTTGTAACAAATTTCCTTTCCAAAGGGGAAATAGCCACAGTCACTGAAGTTTTATTAGTATGTAGGAAATGAAAACAGAACATGAAAAACATTTGTTTAACATAAAATAAAAAAAAAATTCATTGTTTAGCTGCGTAGTTGATGTGCAAAACATACACTAATTGTCATGCTGGAAAATGACATTTTCCCACACATCAGTAATCACAGCCCTTGTGTACTGAGTTCTCACCAGGGCCCAGCACTGGACTGGCGTTTTATATGGACAGTGATCTGACTCCCAATTTTAAATGTCAGGAAACTGAGGCTCAACTAGAAAGTGGCAAAGCTGGGATCTGAATTCAGGTAGTTGTTCTTAGCCATCGTTGAATTGACCCCAACTCATGACAACCCCACACACAACATAATGAAATGCTGCCAGGCACCATTCCCATGATTGGTTGGGCACTGGACCATAGTGATCCATACAGTTTTTATGGGCTAATTTTTGGAATTAGATCAGCAGGCCTTTCCTCCTAGTTTGTCTTAGTCTAGAATCTCTGTTGCAACCTATTCAGCATCTTAAGAATATGCAAGGCTCCTGACAGAAGGGTCGTGGCCGTGCATGATGTATATTGGCTGGGAATTGAACCAGTCTTCCACATGGAAGAGAGAATTCTACCACTGAACCGCCAAAGCCTCATGAACGCAAGTATGTATACTAAAAACCAAACTCACTGCCGTCAAGTTGATTCCAACTCATAGCCACCCCTCCTTGGGTTTCCAAGGCAGTATCTCTACGGAAGTAGATTACCCAGTCTTCCTTCCAAAAAACTGCGAGTATGCATACATGACTCCAAATCTGATTCTCTTAAGGACCAGGTGATGGGTCTCAAATTGAGATTTTTTTT